ATTCCTCTCTTCTCTTGAGGATGTGTAAAGCCTTGATTAATTTTTAAGCTGCTAAGTAGCAGTTTACTTTCCCCTTGCATGTTCTCCAGTAGACGATGACTGCAAGGCATGAATTTTTAATAAGAAATCTTTGCAGGGCCTGGTATTTCTCATCAGCTTTTCTAGTTTCACAGTGTTGATGTGTGTGAAAACTTGATTCTCTAGCCTTGCTTACTAAACCACTGAGGATAACAGCAGGAAATTTTACTCAGATGGAAGTTAGTATAGAAATACTTAGACTAGCTGTGTCTCAGATTTGTTTTACCCTTTCTTAGATTGCTCTTTTTTGGGTAAGGCTGACAGGAGTTTCTCCCTGTTGACATTTTCTTTCTGTTGCAAGCTTTTGTCTGTGCTTGTGAAGGATTTGCAGAAGACTTAAGACTCCAAACCAAGTTGTACCATGCTAGCATGTGTAAGTCAGTAATCTTGATCCTGCTCACAGGTGATACTAAACCAGTCTTTTGTTCCTTTGATTTGACTGTTACTTTGTTCAACTTGTGAAAAATCATATCCTGATGTGTGCTTAAAATGAAGTATATTTCCTTAGAACTCTTGTTTGTCAGGGATGAATAAATTTTTGAAATAGAAATACATCACAGACCAAACAAGGCTGGGTCATTTTTACATTTAGTTTTATTTTTCTTTGGTTCTTCATTGCAGTGGTGTGTGAGGTTTTTTTTCTTTCTTTGAATACTCTCTCAGATGTCCAATGCCAAGGATTTCCAGTGAAGTCTTTGTGAGCACATCTGATAAATTTTGGTAGGAAGTCATTGGTCTTACATTTAGACATCTTGTTTTGCTCACTGAGATTTGCAGTTCCTTCAGCAAACAGCAAAAGTGACATCTCCTTGACTGATGCAGCTTCAATCTGAGCTTAACAATAAAGTTTAGATATTAATATAATATATTTATTTAATAAACTAATAGAACACACATCCTCTCCATTATATGTTTGGGGGTTTTCCCCCCTTATGGAATTTTGTGTTCTCATGTTACTAGTTTTCTCCTCTCTTTGGTAAGAGTTTGCTTTAATGCATCCCATTTTTAAGGAACAATACCTAAGCTTGCAGGCATCCAGCAGTGAGAGGAATGGAGAGGATAGAAAAAAAAGCTTCAGTTTGTTTACCTGCAAGTTTTCCTTCTTTATAGATGGGAGAGGCTGTCATACTTCTGTGTGAAAGGAGGCTGAGACTAGTCCCAGGTGAAATCATGTTTTCAGCTGCACTGTTGTGCTGTGCCTCCCAGGGCTGAGTTTTAGCTGATGTGTCTTCACATACAGAAAAAAACTGTATGGACTATGGTTTATTCCCTCTGATGTTACCTTTGTGCATTTTATTGTTAATTAGAGTAATGCCTGACACACTAGGGATGCCTATTCTTAGCAAAAAAAGCTGTGGTTTCAATTAGTTCTTCTGTTACCAACTTACTGTTGCTTAGTTGAGCTGATGGTGTTATTTTCCAGACTTAGAACATTTGCAGACAGAACATCTTTATGTGAATGAGTGATCAGCAGAAGCTTTAGTGTGTTAGTTCTTCAGATTTGATAGACACAAGTTGGGCAGATATCAGTGTGGGGAGAGCACTTTCGTGCTTTCTCGATTACTCATGAATTCCTGGGGGTATCTTAGGACAGCGCTCATGTGCTAGACACGAGTGCTCAGCCTAAAACAGAATGCTCTTGGGTTAAAGAAGGTTAATATTAAAAGTGTTGGCACAGGAATCCTGTGAGTGAGAAAATTCCCAGTGTGTGACTTAAATACATTTTTTGCAGAAAGTAAGTTTACTGAATGCTTAAAAATTGTAATGCCCAAGAAGGACAAAGGCAGAAACTCCTTTTCTGTTAAGAAAATGAAAGTAATACCTTGAGTTGAACTTATTATTTTTATGTGACAACTGATGAGATGGGTGGCTCTTCATTTTGGAAAGTTGGCAGCTTTGTTGTTCATAGCCCAAAATGTTAGAGAATCTTGGACTTTCAGGTCTCAAATGCCTGGCTATACTGACTGCCACTAACAGTGTTTGGGGGAAAAAAAAGCCACAGACACAAATTTTTCTCAGTTCTTGATATATATGATGTACTTGATATACATATTTGCTTGCTTATTTATACTGTAAAATGTTAACAACAAAGACTTTGTTATTTATGTGGATCACTTCTTTGTCCTTTCAATGTGGGTGATCTTGCACTACATGACAGTTTGCCCTGAACTCACTTCATACTGTTTCACAAAGCAGTATATTTCCCATGTCTGCTAAATTGTTACATTTTGTGCCTTTCCTTATCATAGGTTAACTGGGGACATGACAAAAGCAATGTATACTATGCTACAGCAGCTGAGTTGCAAATTTGTTTGCTTTCCAATTTGCTGCGAAGGGCTGAGTCATTCTCAGTGTTATAACAAATACATATTAGATAAGTTATCGCAGCAAAACTGTTTCTCGTCACTTGGAGTTGATGATAGGAGAAGTTTCAGACTCTAAATCCAAAAACAAGAGGTCTTTTTAAACATTGAAAGTATTTTAGACTCAAATGATTGTATGAAATAATTATGGCTGCTCTTCATATGAAGTTGGTGACAATTGGTGTTTCCCCAGACATTCCAAAAAGTGTTGCTGGTCCTCTTTTTCTTCTGCAGTGTGGTGTGAAATATTGTTTTGTTGCCTTGGAATCTTAACTCCTCATGATTAAAGTGAGAATTGACATTGCTCTAGCTGCTTGATCTCAAAGTTCTCATTCTGAGAGAGTTTTAGTAGCTGTTTTCACACAGATAGTGAATAACAGTGTCAGGGTTTAATTTGCATGATATGTCTCAGCAAAGCCCCTTAAATTAAGGCTTTCCTGTTATTAGGAATACTGTTACAGAATTGGACCTGGATCTGCTTTCAGCACTGGTCGTCATGCTCCATAAGAGCTTGGTACAATTTATGTGGTACATGGGACTTCCTTGTGAAGAGTGTTGGCTTTCAGTGGAAACCAAATATCTTCCTCTTCCAGCCCAGATTTGCTTTTGTTTTCTTCCTTTTTTTTTTCCTCCCTAAGAAAGCAAATTACAGAATTACTATTACATTATTTCGTATCTTTAACTCAGTGTTTTGATTTCTGTGGGTTTATCTTCCTGCAGCAAAACTGATAAGTCACGACTTTGCCAAATATTAGATCATGTTCTTGATATGTGTAAGGTTTTCATAACATGATGCCTGTAATGATAAAGGCATTATGATTACAGCAAAGAGGTTCGAAAGCTGAAATGCCTAATCAAAATTAGAAGTATGTATTTGGATTTTGTATTTTTGAGTACCTTTCCTGCAGTGTAGTGACTTCCAAAGGATGTGATTGAAGTTTGGCTTTATTTTTAGGATTCTTTCAAGTCACGGGCTTACAGCTTGGCAAATACTGCCTTCTAGATTTCTGCCTAGACATAGCTACTAAAAACTGCTGTTTCCATTAGTAAAGTATATATGGAAATAAAGATTTTTAAAAGGTTGCTGCTACAGTGAAATCCATTCTGTGTACATGTGATATGCAAATATTTTACTGATTGAACTGCAAGTACTTTAGACTGTTTCTCAGTTTGTACAAAGCAAACCTGCACTGAATGTATTCCTCAATGCTTGCAAGTAATACATACTCTGGAAAGATTTATTTATAGCATATAAAGGCTGGGGGAGGAAATTAAAATTACCAGTGTAAAGCAAAAAAATCACTTTTTTGGGAAAATATTTTTTGTGTATTACATGAGAGGTGAAAGAGTTTGCAATGCAGAGGTCTGATTTAGAGTTCTAACTTAACCAGGCTAAATCTAGACAAGAATGTTTATTTATAGAGGTTTTTAGGGTTTTTTCATACAGCAGGCAGTCATTGAGAATAGTTCTATGTTGCTTTGTTGGTAGAAATTCACCTTTTTGTTTTGGTTTTTGGTTGGGTTGGTATTTTTTTTTTTATTTCCTGCTGCGATTTCTTACAGGTAGGATAGTGTCACTTCAGACATCTGGGTACTGGGGTGGCAGTGGGTGACTTGACCTGGAAAACTTCCTTCTGATCTCTTTCAAAAAACTGGAATAATTGTTATTTCTAGCAAAGGCATAAAGATAGAGGGATGCACTGCACGACGAACCAGCCATGTGCTCTGATAGCTAATCAAGCTAATCAGGCTATCTGGGAGCAGTGGCCAGTTTGTTTCACACGCATATCCGCATGTCTGAAGACTCAGAAATCGCCTTGCAGGGGTCTTTCAAGTCAGCTGAGCAAAGTGCAGCATGGGAAGTTTAATGCACTGCTGTACTGGGAGTCGTTTGATGTCAGAAGGTTATTGCAGATTACTGCTCGGTGTCTGTTTTCCATTTCTCACTTCTTGACTAGAAAGGATGTTTTTGTTGTACATGTAGGTTTGTTTCAACAAAGGTTCAAAGACCTCCTATGTACAGGACAAAACACAAGCCCAAGAATGGTCTTGGAGTGATCGAGTGACATGGGCTACTGGTTTTGTCTAAAAGTCTCCTAAAAATAAAGGATTGACAGCATTTTTTGAGAAGGAATTCTTTGCATTGTAAACACAGGGGAAAAAAAAGATAGCTGTCTGAACTTGAGTTTGGACGATTTCTTGTCACAAGGAGAAGCTATTAAATTGCACACAAGACATTCTTCCTCTCTTCTATGTCATTCAGGGGAGGGAAGTCTGAATGATTAGTCACAACACGAGAGTAGCCCCACCTTCCATGCCTTAATTAAGTGTTCCTTTCAGTGTCTTTCATGCCTTTGTTATCAACATCTGTTTGTGTTCTAAACCAGTTTTTAACTAGAAAGAAAATTCAGTTAAAAATTACTTTGCACATTATTTCTGGTTTATACGGTTTTTCTATTGCTCATGTATTAACTACTTAAGAATTAATATAGATAAAATGTAGACTTTTCCCAGACACAGAGATAAAAGTAATTCTTGTATTCGATTCTTTGACTCCAGGCTATGGTGGCTTGTTATCCAGGCAACGGAACAGGATATGTGCGCCACGTTGATAATCCAAATGGAGACGGAAGATGTGTTACATGTATATATTATCTTAATAAGGACTGGGATGCCAAGGTATGCAATAATTTCTTTCTGAAATGTTTTTTACATACATACATATGTATACACACTTGTTACTGCACCTTGGCTTGAGGTTTTTGTTGATGTCCTTATTTCTGTGCCTTAATTGTGTTTTTACATTAGGTTAACTGTGGCTATGCTTTGCCTCCCTAATTCTGTTGTCAGTGAGACCAGATAGAGATGGAGCATTTGTTTTCAATGTTTTGAATTATGTCAGCAGGACCTTCTTGACAATAAGATTTAAGGAAAGTGGTAAATGCATCCCTATACACAAAGAGAAATTAAAAACAATTTTGTATATTCTTAATTTAATTTTTCCTTGTATTCCTGTTGAATCTTGAGTTTATTGTTTGTGCAACTAGATTGCTTATTTGAGTATGCTTATAAAAAGAAAGATGCTGTAGCTTGGAAGCATTTCCAAACAAGCGTTACAGTCATTGCTACATCAGTAGGGTTCAAAGTAGCACAAGTCTTGTATCACTGCAGATACAGGGTGTAGAACAGATTTATATTACAGCTCAATTGGTCTAAGAATTTACTACTAGTGGCTACGATAAAGTGAAATTTAATAAGGGTTTTCCTAGTGATTGAGTGGGACTAGGTAGATTCAAAGAGCAGATATAGCTAAATGGCACTTCTGAGACCATGAAAGAATAGTGCAAAGACAGATTTGCTAATTCTTTGATTTCTCTGCCATTAATGATGGAGAAGTTTATTCTCATAGTGTATGGGGGAAAAAAAAAGATAAAGCTACTGATGCTTCATCATGCTAAGGGAGTAGGATGTGGAAGAGTACATAGGAGCAGTCAGATTCTGCATTGCATGCACCAGATATAGATAACACAAATTGCAGATGAGAGATGTTATTTTTCTTTTTTTTCCCCTCATAACATACTTGCATAAAACTGGTAGATCAGAAGGCTGAGTCAGATGGATGCACTTCAAGCTTTCTGTTTCTGATGTGCTCTTTGACACGTCAAATTGAATCCTACAATTAGAAAATAATTTTTTTGCCATGATAGCATCTCTGTATATAAATGTACTGATTGCACTAAACAGCTTTAAGTAAAGCTTTGGGGCATTTTTAGCTGATTTATGGTTTCTCTCTTGGGAAAAAAAAAAAAGAATACATAACAGAGTGTAGAAGTCAAGCAAATTGCATTTTTCACGATAATTGTGAAACATTTGCTAGCTGGATATTTAATTTATGAACAAAGACATTACCTTCCTGCAAAAATTATTTTTAATTACAAATTAATATACTACCAAGTATATTGCTTATTAAAAAAATAATCTCAAACTTTCTTTAGGAGAAGATAATGGATCTATGTTGTCACTTGTTTGCTGACTTAGATCAGAGATGCCCCTGTTATTTATATCAAATTGCCTTAGTACTTGCACTGTTATGTCTGTTACTACATGAAAGGTCTGTGGTGGCTATCTATAGTTAGATTTAACAACATCAACACCATCAGCAGGAAAAAGTTAATGTGACTTAAATATAATTAGCCCCACCTACTTGTGCTTATTTCTAGGCATACAGTTAGGTTCAGCTGTTTTCAAAACCTGGAAGAGATCTGAATTGACCATGAGTTGTACAGATTGAAGTTTCCTAGTCTTTCCTTATTTTAATTACACATAAACTTGTGCCACAGTTAAATTAAATAATCTCTTTAATGGGGAAAGATGAAACTCATGTGAAATACAATGTTTCTCCCATCTATATCGGGGTGTTTTTAGCCACCTATGTAATATCAGTCAGGCTTGTCCATTTTTTTACTTAAACACGAATGCACTTAGCATTCTGAAATCACTCAGTGAAAAATATGTTAAACATTTTGTTAAATGAAATGTATTGACAGAAAAGCCATAGATTCATAATTTCTATAGCACCTGATAAAGGTTTTTGTTTCAGTTCCAAGTGTCTGAAATATTTTCTCATGTGATATTCAGGACTTCTAAATACAATGAGACATGGCTCTCAAGCATTGTTTGAAAATATTTCATTTGTAGGTAAGTGGAGGCATCCTTCGGATATTTCCAGAAGGTAAAGCCCAATTTGCTGATATTGAACCCAAATTCGATAGACTGCTATTCTTCTGGTCTGATCGCCGCAACCCTCATGAAGTACAGCCAGCATTTGCTACAAGGTAGGAGTGATGGGTTCTCTATTGCATGATGTCTGTCTTTGCAAGAAATGAGAAATTAGTGACACTGTAAATTATGACATGACAAAAAGGAAAGTTGTTTCTGCTAATGAATGCTTCCACCATGTTGCTGAGTTTGTAGCGTTGCCTAATCTCTTACTTTGGAGAAAACCTCCCGAGTGTGTAGGTGGGAAGTCTCTGAGTGTGTGCTCAGAAGAACTGGGGCCATAAGCAAACAGAGCCATAAGCAAACCCCAACTTGGCCAAAGGGTGCCATCTTCATTATTTCTCTGTAGTGGCTTTACACCCTTCTCCCTTTCCTTTGTCCTTAGCACCCTACTGTGTTACTGGAAGATTGACTGGATACTTCAGTTCCCTCTTGTTGGGATGGAGCTGTCAGAAAATTGTAATTTTCAAACTAAGCTACCACATTATAATTTGGGAATTAGGTGAGGGTTGTAGAACAGAAAAAGCCATTGATACACAAATATTTTTATGGAGTATTATAGGAGCTGCTCCCAGTCTGAAGCACAGGGAGAACTTGATTTCTCTTTTGTCCCTCAGTGGAGGGCAGTGGTTGATGCTAAAGGTACCCACATTCACTGCCCCACATGATAAGTGACATTTCCAGATAGTGGTAATAGGTAAATCATTTGAGTCATTGATCCAGACTTCCTGTTGCCCGTGTTTTAACGTGTTTGGATGGCCAGAGCACTGAACATTGACTGGAGCTGTGAGGTAACACAGCTAAGTTTGCAAGAAGTAACTTGAAGCAGCCTTCAGCGCATCCTCTTACAGCTTTTCCAGAGGCTGTACTGCTTTCCCCTCCCCCTTTCTACTCCCGGAAGTCAGAGGGTGAAATGCCATTTACTAAATCTCCTTAAAGTCTTTTCTAAATAACTGGCATTTTGTATTTAAATCCTCTATGGGCAGTGGAGAAAACCAGAGGAGCCATGTAAGAATGGGTAGTTAATTGTCTCTTGTGATAAATGTCAAAAAAAATAGATGATCCTGCAGTGTGACTCAGTGATGAACTTGACCTAGTAAAATGATCGGGTCATAGGGCAAGATGATGTGGGCAGAGACTTTATTCTGGACAAGAACCATAATTGCCACTCATTAGGAAAAGAGTGTAAACTTAAAGCATCAGTGTCACCCTTTCAGTGACTTTTCAGATAATACCTACTAGTAGGAAAAAAAAAACCACCCAGTGCTTGCTTTATGAAAACTTTCTTCTGTCAGACTGCAGAAGTATCATCTAATTTAGGTTGTGTTTCATGTCAAGTGCTTCACTTGTACTTTGCTTCATAGTTCAGGAGTTCTTTTTACTTCTGTTGCCTTAGGTACGCAATAACAGTGTGGTATTTTGATGCAGATGAAAGAGCACGAGCTAAAGTAAAATATCTAACAGGTAAGCTCCTCTTAATATCATTGTTATTTTTTTGTGGAAGAGTAAGCTTAAGTCTAGCTTCATCTCCCTGGCCCACCCTCTGCACAAACAGAGAGAGAAAGTGGCATAACTTGAGCTAGGTTTTACAGGGAAGGTGACCCAGGGATTGAACTCCTCCTGGGCAGTGATTCGTGAAATCTAGGTCAATGCCTATCCTGCTTACACTTCCTCTGAGACCTGAGGCTGCTCAGTATTTTTACATGAGGGATACAGTTTCTTTCTACTCTTGTCTCCCTAATAGATGGGGAAGATAAATACACCAGAGACTAAGGCACTGCAGAACTGAGAACTCTGGAAATTGTTTTATTCCAATATTCAACAAGTGAATAAAACTTTACTTAAATAGAATTTTTATACTGGAAAAACAAAAGCCTAAAATTAAAATTGGTAATCAAAGAATGGACTTCCTTCATTTCCAATTTCACATATCTAGCATCTGTTTTCCTTCTCTAGCTTCTCCCCCAAGAGGAAGTTGATCTAATTTTCCTGTTCAAATTAGCATTATAAGGAGAAATGGCCTAGGTTTTCTGTAGTGCTTGTAATTGCCATCACAATTTTGTGTTTGTTACAGTAGTTTAAAAATAAACCAAAATCAGGTGTACTGCAAGTGCACACGCACACAGCTTTGTCAAGAGCTCTGAAGCCAATGATCTTGAAGTCATGTGCCAGTCATTTCCAGCTGAGACTTCCATTCTGCTCCTAAGCAGCCCCAGAGCTGTGTGCAGCTCCAGTCCCTTTTGGTGCTCTCGGTGACCATGCATTTTGGGAGTGGCAAGAGAAGTGCAGCTTTGCTGCCTGGCTTTCCAAGGGATCCCCTCAGCTCCATCAGGGAAGGCTTGTCCCACTGCTTGGTGGCACATGCCTGGCAAGGCACAGCTGACTTCCCAGACAGTCAGCATGCCTGGCCTCCACAGGAGGCCTGTCTGTCTCCAAGCCGGTCTTCATGTCACAAGTGCACAACTCAGCAGCTCCTGGAGTCAGCCCTGCTGGATCAGAGCTGTTTCATTGCCTCTGCACAGCTTTGGCTGCTGCCCTTTCAAAGGGAGTGCAGAGAAATGGTTGGGGAAGGCTCAAGCCTGAAGGGAAGGTGCTTCCCCCTCTCCCCACCTCCCTTTCCCTTTTCCCTTTAGGAGTGCCCGCACTCCTAAACTGCAGGCACTAAAGGAAGGCAGGCTGGGTTGTTTAAGTTTCACAGAACCACAGAACCAGTTAGGTTGGAAAGGACCTCTGAGATCATCAAATCCAACCTATGACTAAACACCACCCTATCAACAGTGGCACTGAGATGGTGCTGCCAGAGATGGTGACTCCACTGCCTCCCTGTGCAGCTCATTTCAATGTTTAATCACCCTTTCTGTGAAGAAATTCCTCCTCCTTCAGTATCGCTTTGCTCTGTAATGGGTTTACATTACCATATTGTTGTGGTTTCAGTTTTCATTTGCAATTAAAATTGCATTCTTTGCTCTGTATCTGCAGCAAGACTCGTGTAAGAAGCAATTTATTTTCTACTGACAATAATACATGAAATTATATAATAAAATGTCATAAAATAGAAAACTATTAATTTTTTGGTTGTCAGTTTAACTAAAGCCATGCAGAATATGTGAGTTTTTCTTTGCTTATGGAATATTGTGTTTTGATAGTAAAACTTGATTCTGTAAAGTGATGTGGACTATTAGATTGTGCTTTGATAAATGCTGAAAAATGCCATTTTCTTTTCCATATTTCTGCAGGTGAAAAAGGTGTGAGGGTTGAACTTAATAAACCTTCTGACTCAGTTGGGAAAGACGTTTTATAAGCCTTTGATTTAGCAACTCCCCTTGCTATTATCCCTGATAAATCTTGATGCTATCTATTAACTTTTGAATGTGAATAACAAGATAAAGGAAAATCAACAACAAACCAACATCTTAATATGGAAGCAAACAGTGTTTCAACATTGCATCAAAAAGAAGGTTCTTTGACTGCTGAAGCATTGTACTATGTGATTGTGACTCCAGGCCTGTGACTGCTTATGTGAAGAAGATAAGCAATCAGTAAGAAACACCATATGCATCTGGACATAAATAAGTGCCCTACATAGAATTTGTCCATCCTTATATTTTGCCAGACCTGTCATCCAGCTGAATCCATTTCATCTCTCCCTTTTTTTATATGGTAAAAGTTTGAATTTTGGGTAATTTTTGTATGACCAGGTACAGTTTATCAAAATTGAGTCTTAAAAAAAAAAAGAAAAACTGAAAAAAAGGAAAAAAATTACAGTATTCTCCGATATAACATGGATCTATTTTTGTAAAACTGTTCATACTGTTCTCCTCTGCCATGAAAGACCTAATTTAATGTAAGGGTTGCCAGTAACTGATAATCACTTTAATTTTTTTTACAACTTAAGTCAGAAAAGGAGCACTTTAATTACCAGCTAAAAATCTGATTGTTTTATATCATATCTCACACTAATCTTAAAGATTGCTGCTGTATTGGTTTTTTTTGTTTTATTTTTGTTTTTTGACTATGTTCTCTTGAATCTTATTAACAAAAGCAAATGAGTATCTCGCTATTAGTAACATTCAATTTGTGGTTTTGTATGTTGAATCCACAGAGGGGAAGTTTCTGTCTCTTTTCTTTTTTCTTTGGTTTCTTTTTTTTTTTTTATTTTGGAGGGGGGATGTGTGGTTGTTTTTTTTTGTTTGTTTTTTAAGTGACTGGCACTAAGTGAACTTGACACTATCGGTTGCTGTCATTGGCTTTGGGGACCTGGTAAACACCATGAAGTTACAAGAATATACAAGGGCTTTCCTAGGCTATTAGAGGTACCCACAACCTCCTTACTTACTTGACAGAAATTTTTGAATTTTCTCCCTTTTCTAAAAAATACTTGCCACCCCCCTTTCCTTTGTATATAAGTTAATAGAATATCTAAAATTCACTTTTTGAAATTTCCTTTGCAAATGTTGGTGTCCCATGCAGTCTGTAAGTTGACGCCTTGATCTATTATATAGTATCAAGGAGGTGGACAGCACACTGAAGCTGAAGTGCATCACTCTGTAGGCTCCTTGTGCAATAATACATCATTAAATTTTCACTGTTGCTGAAGGATTTCCCCAAAAAGGCACTGCCCTTTGATCAATACTGAGGTATATATTTAGTAAGAAAACATTTGCTTTCTTTTACATTGTTATAATTTTATCCAGGAGGTGGGACATCACAGAATAAAAGTGAGATGTGCAGAAACTGTGATATTCTTATTTTTAAGAAATGGATGTTTTGGACACGGACTTTTTTCTTCTTTTTCTTCTTCTTCTTTCCTTTTTTTTTTCCCTGAGCTTTAAAAGCTTGAGAAAACAAAAGCAAACCTATCAAAGACAGCATTCATATTTACAGGAGTTTGGGGGTTGTTCACCTTACCCACTGCAGTTTTCTATCTGTCCCTTATTTCCTTGCTTAGCCAAAACAATGTGAGTGTACAGAAATATTTCTGTATATATTACAACTTGTGACAATTTTAGCATCTGTATAGTTTGTATTCAATTAGAGACCTTTTCTATGGAAAGCTCAGTAATTTTTTATTAAAAACATTACTATTGTTCATGTAAAACATGAAAAAGCTAATTGTTTAGTAACAAACTGACAGAAGGGGAAAAATTCAGTATTGGTATATCATTTAGGAGAACCAACAGAAATCCCAGTTTTGTTTTGATTTCACTTTTCCTTCTTTTAGTAAGTTTTTGCCCTGTCCAGTTCTCTTCCTCTTTCCTCTTTTCTTCCCAAACAGACAGGATACCTTTACTGTAAGTGCCTCTGCCAACCTGGCCAAGGAGTGCAAATCTTCATTACTGTCTGGTCTGCAGTGCTTTTAGGCTACCAATGAAACAAGCAAAAAAGTCACCTCTTCTACTTCATCTTCATTAGTACTCCTTTAACAGAAGTTTGGTTTTGTTTTAGAAATGTAAGCATAAGCCTTTAAACTCATTTCAGTCCCTCTGTAATTCAAACCGCTGCAGTTAAACAGTGTATCAAATTCTAATCACACTGTAGGTTTGTGCTTGCCAGACAGGTTTAAAAAGTGCTTAATTTTTCACTCCATGTAAGTCATTACAACAGGGTCAACAAATCAGGTCAGCCATTTCTTCCATGTCCTTTGGAAACTGTTCATTTCATGTCGGTTGAATATTCAGTCTTGAGCATCATCAAGCAGGTCCTTGTTTTAAAATTATTTTTTAAACTGTCTTATGATCTGTATGTGTCTAGTCCTGGTTAAAAATAAAGCTTCATAATGCTATTTTTATTCATGATGTTAGCTGGCTGTGAAATATGAGACCTTTATCTATAGCAGGCAAAGAAATTCAGGATTCATTTACAGGTTGCCTATAAAGTTGTGTAATTTCAAAAGCAGTGTTCATTATGAAAGAGCTCTCAAGTTGCTTGTAAAGCTAATCTAATTAAAAAAGATGATGTATAAAGGTTCTTGAAAACTGTGTGGTTATTTGTAATCTTTGTAACTTTTAGAACTACTCTGTACCAACTAATTTATGAATGCCTCCTGATAAAGGGGGTATGTGGAATTTTTGGTTGTTTTGTTGTGGGTGTTTGGTTGGGATTTTTGTTTGCTTTATTTTGTTGTTGTTGCATTTTTGGTGGGTTTTTGTTGTTTTGGATTTTTTTCTTCAATCAGAGCTGTTTCTGCTCTGGAGAAGGATCTGTGACTTTTTTTCTTTGGACTGCCTACAGTTACCTGGGTGTGGTCACCATTTTCCTGATGATTTCCTCCTTCAAAAACAGGGCCCTTTTTAGGCTTTCTGAAGAGTGATTATGATAGAGTCAGCTCTAGTTTTTTCACCACTTTTGACAGGTATGTGAGGTACAGAATGAGTCACATTCAAGTGGGATTTGTGAGGTCTAATGGGATCTCCTCAGTTTTTCATGGCTCCCAATGAATTATGGGCCTTTGAGAGAAGAACAATAGAGTCTGCAGGTGTAAAACTGTAAGAGATATCACAGAATATTCCACCACTTTTGACAAGATTTGTAATGAGTCTCCAGCATTAGTGACCTTTCATGATACTTGGGTGCCGGTTGTACTCATTTCTGCTCTAAGGTGATGGTTCTTGGCATTTTTTTTTAGGTTGAAACACAGGTGTAGCAACCCTGAGCTGATGGTGCTTTGAAGTGCTTTGAAGCTTTTTCCATGTTCAGGGATGTATAACTTCTTACAAGTTCTCCTGAGAATACCTCCTCCCCATCCTAGCTTTACATTGAACAAGGAAGAAGCCTGTCTTGCAGCCATCCTGTGTAGACCTGGTCTGGGTTTTGTTTTTTAAATTATCACATTGTTGAACACAATATGCAGGGGGATTGTTTTGCATAGTAAAGTCAAACACTGCACAAGGATAAATGAAGTGTTTCTCTTGGGTGTTTCTCAGAAAAGACAATTGCAGATTTGAGGGCTGACAGCCTGTGTCATATGTAAAACATCTGGCTTTGCTGACCACTTCAAGGTCAGGAGTGGAAAGATCACATCTTCATCATACTGGTAAGTATGACCAGACTGAAAAGTGCCATTTCTGTGCATGCTGAATGCTTTGAAGAGGAGGGGAGAGTGCCAAGTGACGAGAGCAAGCTCAAAGTCACTGAACTCCAGGAGTCTAGCATTTGTACCTTGCCTGCAGGCATGCAGATAGCTGCATGCTCTTGTAAATACTCAGTAGGAATTTATGAGTACTGAGCAGCAAAGACTTTGAAGAAATTCATGGGTCTCAGCTGGATTTGCATCTCACCTGCTTTTTGGAGGGGATGGGGGTTGAAGTATGGATCTCTGGGTCTCCCATTGTCAGCTTTATTTTTTCTTTTTTCACATGCAAAGTTTGAATGTAAGTAATTACCGCACATGTACTGGAGTCTGTTTGTACAGGAGCTGTGTTCACTCTGCAACATCTGCTGCATCAGAGTTGCTTGACTCTCTGTTAGGGGTGGATAGCAGCTGACAGAAGCAGGTTTCAAGGTGTCTCCCCTACCAGACAAAACCAGTTCCAGAGATTTTGCTCTGTTGACTTTTACTACCACTTACTGAGTGTCATCAAGCTCTTCCTGATGGCTTTGAAGTCGAGTGAATATACAGAACATCTGTCCCTTTCCTGAAATATGAAAAAAAAAACCCCAAACTCATAGCTCCCAAATGGGTTGGCTCTAAAAGAGGAAGGGACAGATGAGATGTGACTTGCCAGCCTGTTCGGGTTAGGCTCAAGTCTTTAGCAGGAGAGGGAGGAAGTGTGAGTTGAACAGAAATGGTAAAGTAGGATGTAAAGAGTCTGGCAGATGAGTCCAAGATAAAGTATGTTGGGTGGGTATGAAGAATATGGGACATTCCAATTGAAAATATGCTATATGTGTCTGGGAGGACATAAAAGTGTGTGGAAAAAGAATGCACAATGTGTTTGTCTCAGAAAAGACAGCTGAAGCATCCCATCCATCCTTTTTTCATGGATGTGTGTTGCAAACAAGCATATATTTACCTCTGCAGATGAGATGTTTATAACTTTACTGGAACTAGGAGTTAAGTTTCCTTGTCTATATTCCAAAAGTAAGTTGTTGGACTCTCCCCTTATTAAATATGCATCTTGGGATTAAGCTTCTAATGGTAACAGTTTATGGGGTCTTCTGGAGAATTTACTGTAACTACCTTTGTATATAATGTGGAAATAAATGCTGGAAGAGGTGACTGGCTCATTTAGCCTCTAAGCCCAGTACCATCCTTTCCATATGGCTAAAAGTTTGCAGGGCATGCCTCACATTAGAGTGGGAGGGATGTAAAGCACAGAGATGGGCTAACAATTTAACAAATTACAATTTACCGGGATCACACACAGGCAAGCTGTGATATAAGGCACATGCTTCAGGGCAGGGTCTGAACTGAAACCCATTATTTCTTTAAAATTCTGTTGGAGACAGGAAGTAAAATTTCATCTCTGAATATTCTGAATAGCCAGTGCTCCTTGTGGGTTTGTCTGTCTGTGTCAATGTGGTTTGCCAGGGTGGAACCTGTTCCTCTTCTGTGTTTGTTTCAAGAGTTGATGTGATTCTATTTTATTTTATTTAAAAGCAAAGAAGCAGCCAGCATAACTAAAGTGTAGAGATTTGACTCCTACTCACAAATTAAAAGCCTAGTGCCTAAATATCATATTGGGTTGTGAGCTACCTAACTGGGTATTTTGCTACCTAAAGAAAGCAAGGGTCAACCAAAAAGCCAAGAAAAATAAACCTCTCAAAACTATCTGAAGGCAAGTCACTTGGGTTGTAAATGTGTCTTATGTTACTGCATATATGTCTTATGTTACTGCAAGCTTTATAAACCTATTAAAAAAGATTGCAATCAGCAGAAGACATGGTGGCAGCTCTAAGGAACAGAAGAAACTAGAATTCTGGAGCTGGATTAATGGCTGTTGGAATCCTGAGAATTTTTTTTCATGCAGTAAGATGGGAGTGAATCAACCAACCACTACAGAAATGAACTAAATGTCACCATCCCTAGATCTGAAAAGTACCATTTTGGTGGGTGCTGTACCGTGAGTTACCAGAGCAAAAAAATACTTCAGAACTGTTTTTATAGGAGAACTTTGAGAACATCTTTGGATGTCAAGGAGAATATTTCCTCAGGGAAAATGTGATTGTGGACACTGCTAATGTTTGCCAAAGGGCCGTGGGTAATAGCAATCTGTTTTCTGAGATTAGAGTCCAGTTGATGGTGTTCTCGATAGCAAAGAGCAAAGTTTGAGCTGTCACATTAGGCATATTTATTTTCCCTTCACTTCCCCTTCCCCAGCCACAACATAATAGTGAGTAATGTGCTGCTGGGCACGTGTTCTGCACAGTCATATTTTAATGAACAAGTAGAAACTCTACGAAGTTAACTCTCCAATCCTAAATATTTCTTATATCTCAGAGGACTCCTGAAGAGGTGTAGGTAGCAATTTATAAACTTCTTTGCCTGCTTTTATTTTTTCCCACCTGCACGACAAGAACATTATAGCTGTTTGGTTTTGGTTTTTTTTAACCATTTATTTAAAATAGCTCATAAGGAAATGACTTTGTCTAGCTGAGAGTTTCTGTAACTCCACAACCATGCAACATTATGCAATGGGATGAGGAGGGAGGGCACGTACTTCACGATAAACCCAAGGCTTATACAAATCCAAGAGGGCAGGCGGGAGCAGGGGGCCACCTGTGGCTGTGGCCAGGCTGTGACTGGGACACCAGGAGTGGGATGCAGAAATGCTGCTGGCTCATGGCACTGGAGGGGGCAAGTGGGGTCCTGCTGTGTCATAGCCAGGACAAGGCTTCCTCCCAAAGCAGAAAAACATGTTCTTTGTGCCCCAGAGGTGACAGAGACACACTGCTCTCTTACAGGGGGAGGATGCTGTGTGACACAGAAACCCACTGGGGAGGAGTGGGAAGAGTGTGAGGGGGGTGATTACATCTCCAGTGCTTTCAGTAGGTTTGAAAATCTGCTTGTTTCCTCCTGTGAGAGTGCTTGGAGAGCAACTGCTCTGCTTCCAGCCTGCCCTTGCCATTTCTGCTCCCACATGTACGTGGGGGCCTCTCCAGCCCCTTGCTAGCCCTGTGCTTTTGCATCCTTCCATGGCTCCCCGAGCATTGTCCCACCTGATGTCACCTGAGCTGCAGGCCCTTCCCTCCTGCTGTGTCCCTTGAGTGGGGGTTGGAGTAAATTATAACTTATTTGGCTGAGGAAAGCATTTGGGGTGGGGTTCTGGTGCTGCTGCTGGCCCAGAATTGGTGCTCTGTGTGCCAAGCTGCTGACTGTCTCTGGAGGCCAACTAACCCTGAGCTGCTGAAGGTGCTCCTTGTCCTTTGCAGAGATTATCCATGACACAGCTGAGCCCTGGCAGTTCATGGGACACACCCTTCACCTGGCACTGCATTTGGAGTCCCTTAACCGTGCAACAGCCACCCAGCAGCAGCTTCACACCAGGCTTGGGCAGTCTTTCTTCTGAAGAGAGGTAGAGAGAAGGAGACTGAAAACTGCTGCAGGTTTCATGGACAGAACATCTACTCGCCAGTCTCCTAAAAATGGTGTCACTTCAACACAAACCCACATCCATATGTGAAAACACACCGAGGGCTGGGATCAACCCATCCTGCAACAAGTCATAGTTGGGTGAGGATGCCTGCCCAACAGCAGGAGCCTCCCATCCCTCTCCTCTTCCTGAAGAAGTTAAGGCAGTGTTTCCCTCTGTATCTGCTGCAGGGCGTGCATGGACTGACTGCAGCCTCCGTGTGGTTCAGCGCCCGCACAGCTGAGGATGCAAGGCATTGGCTTAGGGTGGGGGTGTGCTGCTGCAGAATTGTCCTGGAGAAGGCAACATTTCTGGGACCTGTACAGGGATTAAAAGGAAGGTAGCATGAAGGCAACAGCTTTTCAGTGTTTCCCTCCAAACTGAGGGCTCCACATTCCTTCAGG